CAAAAGCTCAGAGAATTACACTGCAAAGACACCTGAGCTATTTTTTAAGGGACAGATTTGATCTAACCAGGCCTGCTTCCCTTGTAGTGGAAAGATGATACTGAAACATTAGGGCTGTTTGCTTGTGTGATTACAAATTGCAGATTACAGCTTCCACTTTGTATCAAAGCCTGCCTCACATTTGTTATCTCACAACAAAGTGACCAGCCTGCTCACAGCCTAGATGTGACTACCTGTGTACCACGCTGGTGTGGGGTGCTGTGCCTGTGAACCCTGGGAAACAGGCCAAACACTGTTAATGCCTTTGAATTTGTAATACAAATGATCAGATAAAGCACCCACAGCATTGTTAGTTGGCACTGTCTGAAAGAGTAAAAAGTCTTGAACAACATAAGTTTAATGCAGAAACTCTTGAATTCTAATTGTGGTTTTGACAATCACTTCCTCATTTAGTCTTTCTTGGCCCTGGTTCTGTAGATAGTATCTACCTGTCTGATTGGCACTCAAAACAGAATAACATTTGTAGGCACACAGAACACAGATACTTTAAGCGTTAACACCATTTTATGTGAAATAAGGCCAGAAGGGACTATGATTTCATCTTCTGATACCCATTATACAGGCCCACTGCATTTATTCTAAATATTTCCTGACAGATGCTTCTGACCTGCAGTGGACAGCAGTTTGCTGCCAGTTTCTATTTTCATTGGAAATCTTTATTACTCATGCACAATCATGCAGTGAAGTCACTGCATGATTGTGCATGAGTAATAAAAAGCATGACAGCAGAATGATTGTGCAGTACTCTGCTGGTAAACACTACATCTGGTGAGACATGGTTAATTGTGCATGTACAGACCGAAGAGTTTTGGATGCTTCAAGTGTACTGCACTTTTGCCGTAAGCCATGTGATACAGGGGTCACATAGGGCACACCTCTTCCTGGCTCCTGAAAGAAAGAAAGACACATGCTTAGCCAGGGAAATTTGACACCCACTGTATTTGCAGGCTCAGTAACTGATCAGTCAAATATTTCTGTTCATTAAAGACTTCACTGACAGGGCCTGTCAGGGTCCTGAGGGTGTTAACAAGGCTTAGTGGCCTCGACCAGCCTCACCTGAGGCTTCCACCCACACACCTGATTGGTGGCACTGAACTCCATTTAAGCTCAGGCCTGGCCAGGTAATTACTTCCCAGCCCCAGCTCTGCCTGTCCTGCTGCAGGACTGTTCCCTGTCAGTGGAGGTACCACTTGTGCTGAGCTTGTGTCTGGCTCCTTGCTCAGCTCACCTCAAATAAGCACCTCTGGCTACTTGCTGACAGAGGTAAAGAGAGTTCAGGACACTACAGTGCTGAGGAACTGAGGTTTGCTAGATTTGCAATCTGCAAGCTGTCATTTTTGTGGCAGGAGAAGAATTATCATGTAGGGAAAGTTATGTACTCCTGATATCTGTACATATGGTTTGAGGCAAGTGAACAGGCAACTAGACAGCTATTACTGTTCAGATCACTAATTAGAAAATACTAGAAGCTCACAGAAGTATGACGCCTGATGGTAATTTGTACAGCTATCCCAAAACAGGGCTACACCAGCATTTTAAGAGCACTGAAAATAATCTTTGCAGCAACCACTACTACAAGGACAGCTTACCTAATTAGAACCTTGACAGTCTACTTTAATTGAGATATATTTAGAATGTGTTTATAACTTCTTTAGCAACAGAAAATTTTGGAACAAATTAAAATTGCTAAAATGACCTACCTGCTATTTAGTATGTGTTTGTAACTTCTTTAGCAACAGAAAAATTTGGAACAAATTACAATTGCTAAAATTACCTACCTGCTTGATTTTTTTTTCTTCAAATTTGTAGTGCTCTTCCTGAGTATTGTAATTTTAATGTCTTCCCCTGCTGATTGTTGATTTACTGGGGGAGGATGGCACAGTATCACACATGAGTGTAACCCAAATGGCATTAATATTTCTGATGACTTTTAAGAATGCATCATAAAAGACATGCCACCAGAAAAATTCTGTAAAAGGTAAAATGATGAAATGATAACTGGGAGAATGTTAGGATTTAAATGTGCAAATGAACTACTACAGGCTCTAATAAAGAAAACAGACCTTGAAAGCACTTTATACCAGTAAGTATTTAAAGAAAACCAACAAAGCTAGATACATAAAGCTCATTGCTGAATTCCTTTGTGTTAATATATCTATGCAAGATGTTCTGTTTAGCTTTGTAATGCAATTTTTTTCTGCTTTCCTAAACAGTAAGCACACATGGGGCACTGTTCCCTAAATTATGAGGGTTAACAAAGTATCTTCTTGAAATATCCTGCCCTAGCTAAGAGAAGTGACAGCCCAGCTATGTGATTATTGATTTTTCTAGTATGTGGTGAAACTCTAGGAACTTGATGACTCTCAGCTGTTAGTGCAGTTGCAATGCTTTTCTGTGTGAAATCAGTAAGTTAGGCTCATACAGCTGGAGCTGTTAACACAGTATGGTTGCTGTGGTGGGAGGAGGCTTTTCCTGAGCAGAAACCCAAAAGAATATGAACTGGGTAGAGAAAATGGCATCAACAGTGGCTAAAAAGCCTGTTTCAGTAACTCACAGAACAGTTGCCTTTCTATTAGAGACTTACAAAGAGTGACTTCAACAAATTAAAACAAAATTTGCAGGTATATTACAAAAGGTAAAAAGGCTTGAGGGTTTTCTGCTGTAAAGGACTTATTTAATGTTTTGTAGAAGAAATCTAGTCTTTTTTTTAGTTGTGGGAAAGAATGAATATTGTAACAACCATTTCTCACATATATATGCAATGATCAAACAGAGCAAAATGAAGTTTTTTTCTGATTCTGACACATGCTTAAATTTAAATAATATAATCTATTAAAGGGAAAAATGAGTAATTTCTCTTGAAGGCAATCTCACACAAGCAGGAAACAAAAATATTCTGGCAACTTTTTTTGGAAAGTGATTCCTTTTACTCATGCAAGCATTGAGATGTGTTTGGTTTCTTTGTGTTAGAAGACTAATTTTTTAAGAAGGCATATTGGTATTTAGAACACTTGAAATCATATGGGGCAAAAAGTATACAAGGAATAGGTGAGTAACTGCAGAAAAATAATAGAAAAGCTGACAGCATGAGCTTTCTCACTAGCTGTCACCAGGCATCAGGTGTATGCTCCATCCTTGCTTCATGCACCAGCATCCAGAGGGTACACTTGTGAGTTTTTTTCTTCAGGAGCTGAAGACAAAAGGTCAAATATCTCCTGGTATTTATTATTATAAAGGAACGCCTTATACACTGTAATCAGCAGAGACATCGCAGCAAAATCTAAAAAATTGTCCAAAATGTTGACAGCTGTGGAGTCATAATGTTTGACCTTTCTGATTCTAAAACCACTGATGTTTCCCTTTCACATGCATTTTGAAACTTGCATATAAATTATCACACTATTTTTTTTCTGGGTTTGAAACCATAATTGTTGACATAAGAAATATTCATGTTCTAGCCCGAAGTGTAAGCAGCTATTTAAATGGCTAAAAAGCAATCAATGCATTTTACAGTACAGTCTAATTAGAGCTCTACAGGTTTTGGTTATGTGCAACCATAGGTCTAAATACACGCGTTTGTTGGTGAAATGCGAGGATGACTGTTCTTAAGGAGCAACAACCGATGCCCGGGGGCATTAACAGCGGGTTCTAGGCCGCACCGTGCCCCGGAGCAGGCAGAGGTTGCGGCGGGGCCACCGCGGCCTCTCCCGGGCTCGGCGGCGGGGCCACCGCGGGCTCTGCCGGGCTCGGCGGCGGGGCTACCGCGGGCTCTCCCCGGCTCGGCGGCGGGGCCACCGCGGGCTCTGCCGGGCTCGGCGGCGGGGCCGCCGCGGCCTCCCCGGGCTCCGCGGGGGCGGTGCGGCTGACGCGATCCGCAGGCGCCGCGGCTCGGCGGGGCCGCCCCCAGCTCCGCCCCTGCGGCGCGGCGGGGGCGCGGCGCTGACCGAGCGCCGCCGCTCGCCGCCCGAGGGAGCTGCCGCCGGCCCGGCCCGGCCCGGCCCGGCCCTGCCCCATGGCTTCCCCGGCGGCGGCGGGGCCCGGCGCCGCGCTGCCCCCGGCCGCGGCGCGCCGAGACTTCTACTGGCTGCGCTCCTTCATCGCCGGAGGTGGGTGCCGGGGGGCGCAGGCGGACTGCGGTGTCGCTGGCCCCGGTGACACCGCCGCCGGCTCTGGTCACCTGGGGAAGCGGGGAGCTGGATTTTCCTTTTTCCCCTCATGGACTGACGCGGTGCCCGCCCGTGACTCGCACGTGTGTTAGAACCAGCGAGGAGCCCCGGTCAGCCGCCTGTTAAATGTTCCCGGAGCCCAAACCCTCCTTTGGGTACTCGGGGAGGGCAGATTATCCCTGGCCTCAGACTGTTGAGGTTGTTGTTGAGAAGATGAAAGTAGTGTGAAGGGGTGAGACAGCATGGCAAGCAGAACACCTCATTACTAACCTTTTATAGAAAAACCTATTTATTCTTTCTGTAAGCTGGTGTCTCAGGTGGCTGATTTGCTGGGGGTAGGAGAAGGTTGTGTTTATTTACAGTATTTACATCATGCCACGCTCTCTGTTGGATCTCACTCTCTCAAGTACCACAGGGTACACGACAGACATGTAGCCCACCTCCTTGGGAAGATCAGCAAGGGCTGTTTCCCGGAAAAGGGAAGGAAGAAATAGATGGAAAACTCTTGAGTAACTTTCAGGAAAGTTCCTTCTGCAAGGACCTTAGCAGCTGAGACGACAGTGGCCTGGGTTTTTGTAAACAGGAAAAGTAGCTTAAGTGTTTTGCTAAGTCTTCAATGGCTTTGTAGCATCTTATAGAAGCTGTTTACTTGTCACTGGGGCTTTATCCAGTTCCTAACAGAGTTAGCTACATTAGAAAAATCCCTTATTTAACTGCTGATCTAAAGAACTTTTTTCATCCTGTCTCTTTTCTTTTCTGTTTCTCTCTTGGAAAGGTGTTGCAGGATGTTGTGCCAAAACAACTACTGCGCCATTGGATCGAGTAAAGATTTTGCTGCAAGCTCATAACCACCATTACAAACATCTAGGTAAGATGGCATCTCATTTTTGGTTTTAAATGCAGTGTGTGTGGTTTGGGTCTATTAATTTACTCAGTGATGAGGCTGATAAAAAAGGTGCTCATCAGACAGAAGGTTGTATCTGTCTGGTCAGGCTGTGTGCCATGTTTTCTTGCTGTTTGAGAAGAAAAGCAAAGCCCTGTGTAAGTTGTGGTATCAATCGATGTGTTAGAGATTGAGCTGTCAGAATAATCCCCAATAAGGCATGTAAGAGCTAAGCTTGATCTTCTGCTTACAGAAGCCGGCAGGAGACTGGTAACCATAGCTTCAAAGCTTGGGTGATTGCAGTGAGAACCGTGCTGCAGTGGTTCCCAGGGGCTGCGGGGTTCCCTGCAGTTCAGACAGAGGCATGGCTGGTGGGAATTGGAGAGAGCAGAGGGTTTGTGCCTGCTGTAAGGTGCAGGTGATCTGTATTCAGCATCTGTGTTGCATCATGGTGAGAGCAAACTCACGTGTCCAGAACTGTTCTCTGCGGGCTGTAACAGTGCCCTCTTGTGCACAGCATTTGAGCCATTTATGTCAGATGTTACTGAAATATGTAATAACTTTTGCTCCAAAATTTCAGTGTTGCAATTGTCAGGGAAAAAAATATTCAGAGTTGGCTAATTTTGCATGTAACTGAACTTGTTATTAACTTAGACACTAATGTTTTTCAAAAGTTGGAAAAAGAAATCATCGCTAAATCATAAAATTCAGTGGATATATATATTCACTGTGGCAAAAAGGGAAACACAAGCAACACAGTAATGCAGGCACAAGTATACACTCAAGTCTAAGAACTGAAGGGTGAAATAATTGTTTTGACTGGGATTTTAAATCTTCAATTTGCTTTGTACTGTGCCTTAGTTGGCAAGTAAAATCTTATGTTATTCCCTATTTTGGGAGTCAGATATGATGCTGATGATTTGAACTGTGTCTGACTTGAATGCGTGTCCATGTTACATGTAGGCAAAGAAGGAGAATTATGTGGATGAGGTACCTGTAAGTGCAGAGACACGATGGTTCAGTTCATCAGAGTCCTCCCTGTGTGTTTTTCTGCCTTTGCATTGTGGAGCTTGGATCTCGCTGTGTTCTAGGAAGTAGAAACAGTAACTCATCATTGCAGCATAGAGAGAAATTCTGGTCTTGGCATAAGTAAGTTCAGAGGCATGTGATAAGCATGACATCTTACAAGTAAATTTGCTACTAAATATGTAATAATATATCATGATATAGTAACAAAGTGCACTAATCTATTCATATTCTTAGAATCTCAGAAACTAATAGATACTTGTGTTTAAACTTCAAATGAAAGTTTGTCAGCCACTCTTTTCTTCCTGCCTGAAAGCAAGGTATCTTTCATTTTCCGTTCTTATTTAGTAGTTGGGTATGAATTAAAACTGTTTGACTATCACAGTTAATTCTTTTATAGAATCAAACTAAAAAATGAATTTGATAGCAACTGTGCATAGTTAACGTTTATAGTAAAACTATAGGTTTTGCCAAAACTTTGTGTGATCTTGCGTTATTTGCCACTGATTAAAAGGAAGTAGGATTGCTTCTTGTTGCAACAACTCTGAGATAAAGAGTGAGATATTTAAGTTGTAAGTAATGAGAGTTTGATTTCCTCAGTGATGGTATTTAATCTGTAATTTAGCATGTAGCAATATAATTTTGCCAAGGTTTTAGAATTCGAAGCATTATTTATTTATTGAGAATTGACTGAATTATAGGCCAGCCAGTTCCCTCCCCTGTGTTGTTGGCCTCAGGCTGCTCTGATGGGGGTGGCATTGGCAGGAGCATTGCTTACAGTGCAGGTGAGTACTGGGGCCTGAGTGCAGAGCTGAGTCTGGGAGATGAGCAGACTGATAAAACTTAACCTGAAGGCTCTCCCCTCCAGCAGTGTTCGGGCAGTGAAAGTGGATTTTCCACACTTATATGAGCAACATGATGCAGCCTTAGCTTTATATCCTTACTTTCTCTACAGTAGCATTTCCTTGATTGTTTTTTTCCTTCCCCAGTGTTAAATACCCTTTTTTGTGTTGCTGCAGGAGTATTTTCTACGTTGCGTGCTGTCCCCAAAAAGGAAGGTTACCTTGGGCTGTATAAAGGAAACGGGGCCATGATGATTAGAATCTTTCCCTATGGCGCTATTCAGTTTATGGCATTTGACCAATATAAAAAGGTAGCTGAATTTATTGTTTTCCTTTTCCTTTTGTTTTTTTTCCTGTCTGCAGTGAATACAGACTGGTTGAGTAAGTGAAACTAACACTGAAACTTCTGTGTCTTATTAATTAGCTACATATCTTTTCGAAGGTGGCTTAATTTTATCAGAATTTACTCATTAAAAAATACCAAGGCAACGGGGAAGCTTTTGCAATGTTGCTTAAGGAAAAAGAAAATCACACTGATTTCTAAATGCTTGTATTGTTGATAATAATGCCCTTTCTTTTAATGAAAACAATAGGTAATTTCAAGTCTACTGCTATTTGTATTGCTATGAGGTAGCCCTTTGTGAATAATATAGGAAAAAATGTAGAATGAAACAACTTTATTGTATTTATGATGGGATTCCTAGTACTTCATGGATAAAATGACTTAAACTTGAAAGTCTGTCTGGATATGACTGTTACATTTGACCTGACAAATTATCATATCAAGCTGTAGATAAAAATAACCTTGAAGATAAAAATGCTCATTTCAGGGTTCTGCAAGATTGGTTGATTCTTTTCTGTTTTCCTACATTCACCCTTTCATTAATAAATCTTTGCAACATCTCATGGAGGTCAGTTGTTAGCATGAAGGTATTTTTAAACATTGCTGTTTGTGGTAAAAATACCATTTTGCTATTAGTGAGGAGAAATGTCATGTTTGAAATGTCAGATTAATACCCAGCCAAGTAAATGGTGCAATATTCACTGAGGATGATGGGATTGAAATTGTGATTCCCTTCCCTAAGAGTAAATTTCAGAAGACTGATACAAAGAAGTTACTGTAATGGGTTTTGTAGGTTCTTTTCTTTGTGCTCCAGTCATGAATGCTGTTGATCTGTGTGTGTTTTATGTCATGTGGAATAAAAGACAGCATGCCCTCCTTTATAATTGAAATGATTTATGAATCTGCAGTTTCAAGAACCTAGTCAGCATCATACACCAGAAACCTTCACAATATTTTGCAAGGTTATGTAAAAGAAAAAAAAAATCTTAAAGGAGGAAGATACGAAATGATCTTTATAGCACAAAGGGCAAGTCTCAGTTATTTGATAAAAAGCTTGGAAAGTAATTTCTAACTTCCTCCCAGGCCGTAATTAACTTACTCTGAAATGTTGTCCTTTTTCTCTTCCTTTTTATTTCTCCTTTTTTTTTTCTTTTTTTCTTTTAATCCAGTTAAAATCTTTATGGGAGTATTTCACATGATGTGCATGTAAGAAAAATTGACTCTTCTTACTTTTCAACTTTGTTCAGTGTCTTTTGCTCTCTGTATACTCAGTTTGCCTTGTTTAACTCACATTAACGATAGCTAAATAAACAATTAATCTAGTTTCTGAAGTGAACAGTACAAATACTTTCAACTTATTGTTTTGCTTTGTTAGTAGAATTTTAATACTTTCATGTTTTTAATAAGAAATTGGCAACAGCAGCAGTGGAAACAGTGTTTAACATTGGAAACAGTGTTAAAAAAGTCTAATAGTAATTAAATGTTCTGGCTTGAATTTGTAGCATTGTAAACTTCATGGAAACTGCTGCAGAATCTGCACTAATGTGCTAATAAAGTCTGTGCTGTGTTTCCCTGACTTTTCTGACATCTGACTGCTATATATGTTCCATATCGTGTAGGTAATAAAGCAGCAGCTTGGGATTTCTGGGCATGTGCATCGATTAATGGCTGGATCCATGGCAGGTATAGTTTTGTACTTGGATTTCAGACATGCCTTTTGCTGAGGAGTTAGCATTCCTTCAGAGGATGATTTGATGACATGGTGTTGAGTCAAACTTCTGCAAATTTGTATTAAGCAAATATACTAGTAAATGGCTAATTTAATGTGGTTGCCTAATTGAAATCTGTTTGTCTAAGAGTATTCTTTAAAAAATATTCGTGCAAGTGGTGAATTCTGTGCTATGCTGTGAAGCACAATTTGTTAATAGTCTTTTATTTTGGCATTTAAAAAGTGTAAAAACCAGTGTGATCAATATGAAATATAAAGCTGCAGGTTCTAGTAGAATTAGCTAATCAGCCCCTCTACCACTGCTGCTAGGTTGAATATAAGTTCACAGAAATAGAGAACTGTGGCTTCTCAAATCAGTAGTTTCTTTGGTTTTGTCAGAAATGTATGTAATTTTCTATGTCCAGTGCAGGTTTGTCATAATGCTCTTTAGATCATATTCATGAATATTAACATTTCTCATTTATTACTTAGTGCAATAGCAACAGAAAAACTTATCAGTAAAGTGTCAGTGTATAGTATGATTATATATTTATTTTCCTCTTACTAGTAATTGAGTCAAAAGTAGCTAAGAAAAAAAACAGGGGAAGGTAAGTAATAGTGGACTGAGTTTTAATTGAAGTGATTCTTCATGTGCTTTTCCTTTGTAAAATAGGCTTAGTACTATCTAGTGACAGTCCTTAAATAGTTACAGGTATTCATATTTAGCTTCTTTTGGAAAAAAAATACATTGATTTTTTTAATACTGCCTTCAGTTAAACAAGGGAAGATCTCAATAAATCATTCTGGCTTTTGTGGTGTCAGAGGAAAGAGAATGAAATTAAACAATGGGAATAGTCCTAAAAACTAACAAAGGCTGATTGCTAAGATATGCTCCAGAACTTGGCTGGCTTTCTATCTGAAAAATCACAAAAAAACACAGATCCATAGATGTTATTTCTTTTCTTCCTATTTTTTCCATTCCCCTGGTTTTAACTGTTCTAAGGACCATCTTGCAGGTCACTCCCTGCCCCCCACCCAAAAAAAAAGATTATTATTATTAGCTTTTCCAGGAGCTTTGTCAGAGACTGGGAACCTGACTGGGAGGCACTGTGACAACGCTGAATAATCAGTGTAGTCTGTCAGTGTTGGATGGGGTAGAATTCTTCCCATAAATAAATTAATAGTATGTGGCATTGTTTTGAGCACTTTACTGGTTAAATCTCTGGTTTGTGTTGTTAGAATAACAAAAATAAATTAATATACAGAGCTATCTGGCAAGCCCAATCTGCTTTATGTGCTGTGCTTCAGTACAATATACTCAATAGTTTCATTTTTAGAATCCCAGAAGTGAGGAACTGAGCTTGACTTTGGGGTGAGATGAACACAGCAGTCAAATATTTATGTAGTGTCACATGTGTGTGTCTCACTATTTGTTTACTAGGTGGCATTAACTGCTTATTGGGATATTGTTTAGATAATAAGAGGCAGAGGGTTTATCTTAAGTATATCAAGGAGATAGAGGGGAGGAAGGAGGCACTAAGAAGAGCAGAGAGTTTGAAGTCTGGTACAGAAGTTTTCTAGGTTTGCAAACAAAAAAGAAAAGACTTGGAAGCAGTTGGTACTATTTCCTGCTTTCCCTCCTGTGCTGGCTCCAGTAAAGGATATTTTTCTGTTTCTTTCACACTTTAACACTAAAGGATGTGATGTGCTGCACAACCCCCAGTGTTGGTGCAGAGGGGCCTTCACAGTTTCATGAGATGCAGTATTGAGACCAGATAACCTGTATTTCTTTGAACTTTTTGTCCCTTCTACACCATCTAGCCAGGCAGCTGTCTGCTTTCACTTCTCTCTACCCACTGTACTTAAATCTTGTTTATGTCAGTGTTTCCAACATGACTAGTGGTCAACAGACCTGAATCAGCTCAAAGTGGAGGGAAACATTTAAGTGTCTTCTGTAAGTGATAAACAGGATCAAAAGCATATCCACAGCGGAAAACAAGGCAGTGAGGATGGGGGTAGTGGAGGAGAAGAAAAGAAAAGCCTATTGTAATGCATATATTTAAGGAGACCCAGTTAAAGTTACTGTGGAAACTCTAACTCTGAATTTCCTGAGTCTTGTGTGATTCAAATTTCAGCTGTAACACTTCATTAACAGATAAGTAGTGTATAACTTCTTTTAAGGAAAGAGAGCTGGGCAGAAGAGAAATCATAGTGGTTTGTGTGGTTTAGGAAAGAAATGCATCAAATTACAACAAAAATGAACAAGTAACATTCAATAAAACATCACAGGATGATTTTACATTTTTTTAAAGTTTTCTAATAGAAAAATCCAAATCGAAACACAGAAATGTGTATTTATTCTTCTGCATTTGATTAACTTCAAAATGACAAAGCCAAAAGAGACTAGATGTTATCTAGAATAAACTCAAGTCCCATTAAACTAATACAGAAAGTATGCTTTTGTTTTTAGCTTTTTACTTTTACTAAAAGTGATTGAAAATACTACTAGCACTATCTAGGAGGATATGACTGTCTCCATTTTAAATAGTATGTAATCAACAGTTACCTACTTCAGTCAGCATTTTAAAAAAATCTGGTCTGCTTCTTCAGATGTGCTATGGAGGGAAACAGAATCAAATATTGGACATAAAAAATATTAGGACTGATAAATTAGGCATTCTTTAACCTGATAAATATTTATGGTCATCAGCAATTTCTTTGTATGTAGTTTCTGCAGAAAGTTTTGTTTTGTTCAGAAGCTGCTACTTGGATAATTTAATCTTTATATTAGCTAAGGAGAAAATCTGCAGTTCAAGGCTGTGTCTTGTGCTTATCAGTTTTTGAGCTTTATTCCTCTGAACCTCCTGGCAGTGCTTAATTTGATCTCTGGAGCTGCTGATACAGTACAAAGGGCATGATACAGAGATCGTAAAACTTGCATACCAGCTCTGTTTGCAATGTAAATGTATTTCACTTGTGTTTTTTTCTTGCTCCAGATAGTTTTTTTATTTCCAAAGAAAGAAAATTACTAAGAATAGAGAGATAGTAGGGAAATTGGGAGACAGATGAATCCCTGTGGAGCGAATCTCATTGTTAACTCCCAAAGCCTGGGAAGGAAATCAAGGAGAGTCTAATGTGCTTCAGTGTCATTGCATCTTCGGTCTGTGTAACCCTGTGTCTTGTCCCCAGCAGTGGTCAAAGGTGCTGAGGACAATATGGGAAGTGAAGGACGCTATTTCCCTGACTTCTGAGTCAGCATTGGCAGTGAAAAAGTCTGCTGATTTTGAGGAAGTGGCTCTTTGCAGGGTGTAGCTACATTCCCCTATTACGATTATTTCAGATCAGACAATGGCAAGTGCTGTATGTATCTCTGAACTGTTGATACACTTTTGAATCTGTCCTATTTAACCTACCCCTGCAGAGATGTTTGGCTTAGCTATCATTTATGGGAATAGACTTTGATTTTTCAAGCCTGGGACTGAGCTTTAAGATGCTGTGGTCTGACTTCTCATAATGACTGCTCTCAGAGGTGAGATGAGTAATTTTGTAGACTTCACCACAATGACTTTGTGTCCCACAGCTGGCTGCTGTTCCTCTTGGAAAGGACAGTGTCTCTCTTGAGCCCCAAAAGAAATCTTGATCCCTTCTGTGTACATTTTCCTTAGATGAACAGTAAAGCAGTAACATGCCTCTCCTAATTGCTACAAGACAGCATATATTGTGGCTGATGTCCCAAATCCCGTTTTTACTTCTTTCATTTTTTTCAAAAATTAATGGTAGAAGATTTTAAGAAAAAAAAAAAGTAAAAGTTTCTATTTAAATCCTTACTACATACCGTTTCTTTCAGTTTCATCTGTAGTTTTTTTTTTTTTTCCCTTAAATTGTACTACTTTTAGTGTGTTCACTTGATAACGCATTCACCAAGCTGTTGGTTGGTCTGTTGCTAGCCTTTGTTCAGAGGAAGTGCCTGGGTAGATATCAGTGAAGAGGGCATAAAGTCTGTTTTCTGAAGTGGGATGGCACTCTTAAGCTCTGTAAAAGTGCTTTCCCCACCCCCCACCCCCCCCATGTTTTTTTTAAACTGTTTGAATTGATCTATTTGATGATATTTCTGGACATCTCAGGGAATCCATTAGGAAATGGCTCTAGACTGAGGAATTGCATTTTATGTGAGACAGTGAGACAGTGGTAACAGTCTTGAAGCTACTTTAGTGTTTTGCAGCTTCCAGGTGTTGAATCCTCTGGGTGAGACAACTTCAGAGATAAACTGCAGATGTCTCCTTTTTGTTCAGAGGACTTTTCCAGAATCTCCAAAAGACATATTTTTGTCTTCAAAAATTAATTACTGGCGGGATAATCCAGAATCCCACAAACTTGGTTCCCAACTGAGAGTTGACCAGTGTCAGATTTTTGGATAGCTCACTTAGAGTGTTTTTTTATCTCACCATCTAATCCTGGTAACTTTCAGATCATTCAGTTTATCAGAGCAGTGTTTTTTCGGTTTTTTTTTGTTTTTTTTTTTTTAACTCCAGGCATAAAAATTATGAAGAGCTTGTCTGCAGGAGTTGTGTTGCATTTGGATTTTGTTGTTGGTTTGTTTGCTTTTTTCTTCCCCCTGTTACGGATTTGTCTTGGCTTTGTGGAAAGGAGGGGAGATGATAACTACAAAAAGAGGTGTCATTAAGAAACTATTAAAACTTAAAAAGAGGTGACAGTTTCCTGACAAAAACAAGTGACAATTTTCTTTCCACAACAAGCATACTTACCTTCTGTAGGACCAATTTTAAAAAGCTACATTTCCCTAAGTCAAAGCAGTTTTTAGAAAACAGTGGCAGTTACAAAGGTTTTTACTTTCTTTTTCTGCCTTTCCTCAGATTCTTTTGGTTGAGTTTTCGTTTTTTGGTGTTTGTTTTTTGTGGGTTTTTTTTTTTTTTTTTGGTTTTTTGGTGACTGTGGTGTTGCATCAGAAAATGACCACTGTTGTTAGTCAACAGTTTTAAGTATTCCTATTCCTTCCAAAGAATCTGTCAGCCATTGAGTGGTTTACCTCAATACCTAGCACCTAGCAGCTGGAAAGAATTTGTTATTTTGGCGAGTGTTAGAATTGTTGTTTTCTGTGTTGGAGTTGTACCCCAAAATTGCCAGTTGGTCAGCTTTTAAGGTGCTTTGAAGCAGCTCCTAACTGGATGAGTTCTAAGATTTTTTTTTTTATTTTATTTTGCATCTTAAGTCTAGAAAGCTTTTCTTCATAGTTTTAAAATAGAAATGCTGATGTAACATGAACTATTAAAATGCACACTTAAGTATTTCTCATCAGTATCAGCCTGGCTCTATTTTAGATGTAATTAGAATATATTTAGTGTGTTGTTAGAATATGTTTAATATTTTCAGATACAGTAGATAGATACATGTACCTATACCCAGTAATGGCACCAAATTCTGACAGAACCTTTTTGGAATAAATTCGGTGATTTTTTTTTTTAATATGGTAGGTTTAGGTTTCATGGTTGCAATCCAGGAAAGCTGATGTACTTGACTAGCCTGATTCTTAAGAGCTATGAATTTCAATAAGATTGCTCAGGTGAATATAGCCAGGCCTACAAATCTTGGAAAATCTGAGCCTAGGTGTGCTGCTTCAGTGAACACCAAGTACAAACATAAATCCTTTGTGTGTTACTGGAGTTAGTGTTCCTCTTTGCTGATTAGAAGCGACTTTAAGTGTTTCTTTGCCAAAATAGTTTGTATATGCTATTGTATTCACTGCCAGAAAAGGAAAGTCTAGTTTTCAAAATAATCCTAGAATCAGATAAGGTGTAGGTGAGTTTTGTTTGCTTGTTTTGTTTTTGTTTTTAATAAAGGTATTACAGCAGTGATTTGTACTTACCCTCTTGATATGGTTAGAGTTCGGCTGGCGTTCCAAGTAAAAGGGGAACACAAGTACATGGGAATTATCCATGCATTCAAGATGATTTACACAAAGGTATTTTTTCTTTTAATCTTCAGTTCTGTCAAAGCAAAGCATGCTCTTAAGTAATGGTGCACTGTGTTGAACATAATGGCTTAGTGCAAAGTAACATGACTTCATTCACTTTGAATTTTTTAATGTAAAAGTAATTTGAATGCTGCTTTTGACTTAGGCTGCTGAGCTGTAGCTAAGGCTTGTGTACGTGGGAGGTCAGGAACAGCAGAGAAGCTGCTTTTCAAGAAAAGTAGTGATGTTACCAAAAAGATTTGGGGAGGAGGGCTATGTATAAATGTTTTCAGTTGTAATGGGTGTAGATTTTTCTCTTTTGTTTTCACTTCCTTATTTCCTTTGGAGTCAGGCAGTTGTCCCTTCAATTCTTCAGGCACAGGAAGCAGAGCACGATAAGAGCTCCTTGGTGGTAGATGGTGCTAGTCAGATTGCTGTCACGGGAGTCTGTATGAGCAGCAGGTAACTCAAGACTTGTATTTCTTGCTACAAATGCTGCTGTGTTTTTCTTTCAAAGGAAGGTGGTTTCAGTGGATTCTACAGAGGGCTGATGCCAACTGTGGTGGGAATGGCACCATATGCAGGTAAGTTAAAACCAGCAGTTCTGTGTACTGCTAAATTGGTTTAATATATTTGCAGACCTAGTTAATTAGCTTCTGTCCAAATTACATTCAATGATGCTCCTTTAAAAGTGTCTTCAATAGTTAAAGCCTAGCTTTTCTGCAATTGGGAGTTGAGAGTGAGAAAGGTCTTGGACTTCCCAGTTTCCCCCAGGAAAACAAGGAGGCTGTTTCTCTCCAGCAGGCAGATCCTCGCCAGTGGTGCTCTGTAAATGCGGCCTCCGTTGGCTCCATCTCCTGGTGGCTTTCCCGTAAACACTCCCGCAGAGGAGCAGATCAGCCCGGCTCCGTCAACACCCTCGTTTTTAAAAGCTGAGACATGTCCTTCACTTGGAAAGATCTCAGGAGCAATTCTTAGCGGCAAGGAAAGATTCTTGATAGCAATCTAGTAACTTAAAACTCACAGTCAAGCTTATTTAAAGTATTCTTGTAGTGTTATGTATAAACACAAATCCATTTGGACAGAAGTTTCTGTAGAAGTTCAAATTATTGTTTATCTGTTTTTCTGCTTAAGAAAATCTTCCAAAAGAACTGGAAAATAGTTTCATTTTGTAAATGCAGCTTTCTGTTTATGATGATACATCAACAAATAGTTTTTTTAATGACAGTACATAAAATTAAATTTCCTTTTAGGTTTTTCATTTTTTACCTTTGGTACCTTAAAGAGCATTGGACTTGCTCAAGCACCTAACTTGCTTGGACGGCCTTCATTAGATAACCCCGATGTCTTAGTTTTGAAAACACACGTAAACCTGCTGTGTGGTGGCATAGCTGGAGCAATAGCTCAGACGATATCGTAAGTTTGGGTATGGGGTTGGTTTCATCACTGTAGCTGTTCATTCTAAAGAAACTTTTATCTGACACAATTTTATCTAAGTCTAATTATTAAGGTTTTAAAATTAATCAAATACTGAAATGCAGGTATTTCCTATTGTTTCACTTACTAAATATCTATTTAATCTTCAGGGTCTTTTAAGAGTTATCCAGTGAGTCAATTAAACAAATTCAGGCACATCTCCTAAAACCCACTGGAATCTTTTTTAGTAACGGTCTTGTTTCTTAGCTTCTTTGGAAAACTAAAAAATTTTGACCCTGAACATAATTTGCAGAATTTCACTATTCCAATTTACTTTCAAATCTATGTAACCTGTGAAGCCATAGGATGAAAAAAAAAAAAAAAAACCTAAAACCAGACAGGTCTCAGATATTGTATTTGGCATTTTTATTACTTTACTTGCTTTTTCCTTTCTCACCCTGTCCTTGTTCTATTTTATTTTGTCCATAAAATAAGTTAATTTAATGAACTTACACAGCATGGATTTTCACTAAATCCCTGCATTGCAAATATCACTGCCTACTAATCTTTAAACTGTTAATTTTATTTTCAATGCAGGTGTCTTCTCCCTTCAGCATTTTATAGACTATTATCTGCTTATCTGATCTTCACGTGTCTTCCTTACTAGTGCCAAATAGAATATATTACGAGCTCTGGCTTGCTGGTTTTGGTTGTGTGAGGGGAGTCTCCCTTTTTGGAGAGCTTTCCGCTGCATTGAGAATCTAAGCTGGATTCCTGACACAGTGAAAGGAGAGCTGGGAGTTTGCACAGACTTTTTTGTATTCTTGTTTAGACAATATTCCAACAGTTGTCACACATCTGCTGGAGCTGCTGTTTCAATGTCTTCTCTGTAGATATCCCCTGGATGTAACTCGGAGGCGAATGCAGTTAGGAGCAGTTCTCCCAGACTCTGAAAAGTGCCTGTAAGTATTTCCTTTTCATCTGTACTGACTGAGTTCTTGGATGTCTGAGCTAAGTTCAGTTCTTAATTTTAAATTTTAAAAGAAAGCAACTACCATAAGAAAACAACTACCCCCACCCCCTGAACTACTGTGCTGTTGATTTCTTCATTTTTTTAATAAAGATGTTTCCCCGCAGACAAAAGCTACCATTATCAACCTGGGATTAAAAAAATACCTGAAATAATATGGCACCCTTGTTAGTAATCCTGTATCTCTACTAGTAAAATAGTTTTTTTGTATTTTAAGGCAACTTGTGCTACGTTTAATATCAGTGAGATCTTTAAAAAGAGACTGAATGCTTCTACTGAAATTTACTAGTTTTCAGAGTGTATTTTAATGGTGCAGATTCTGTTCCTTAGGATCATTTTGCATAATACAATTTTATTTGAGTTTTTTTTGCACTTAGAGTAGTCTCCTACACCCTACACATTGTTGAGATTCCTCCAGTAGAAGTGGAAGCACCATAATAACTTAAAAATCATAATAGTATTAAATAAGCTCTCATCTTGAGAAACTTTCTGAACTTCAAATTGTCTCAATCCATTTCAATTCTGGGACAGTTTTCTCTTGGTTAGTTTCAATCTTGTGGAATTGTGTGTGCCTGAATCCAGTGCAGTTCACTGTGAACCTCCTGTGTGGAAGGTTGGATCCTACCGAGAGCAGCCTGAGTGACCTTTCACAAACAACCTTGATATTGCTTAACTGTGAAGGTTCTGTTCTGTTTTCTTTACTAGCTTTTTTTTTTTTTTTTTCTTGGTTGTTTTCCACTCCTGATGATTTTAAAATAAAAATGTGTTCATTGTTCTTAGAGTTTTACTTTTTGCATTTGTGAGGACTGCTTTTACAGACCTGAGGCTTCCCCATTTAACAATTTTGTTGTGACCATGTAGAGGGATGTGCTTTGAAGGAGAGACACAGGCCAATCTTTAGAGGATGAGAGATAAAGCAAGCAGGAAGTGTCAAAGCTTTGGAACATATGGAAGTTGCTCTCCAAGAGCACTGTCTTCAATAGCATGGAAATACCAAGCACTTCACGTGCTTTCTATTTCATATCTTCTTAGTTTTAATACAAGTATGTGAAGAAAGTTCTCTTTGCACATACAGTTCAATTTCTGCTTTTAAAAAGGTAAAATACTATATACTCAGATTATTATTTGTAAATGGAGTTTATGCTTTTCTGCTCTTTTCCTGCCAGTTAGGCAAGACAGTGTGTGGAGCTGTTCTGGTGTAAAATATTGTAATATGTCTTGTAGGGCAGGTGTTTTCAGGCTGGCACTATTTTAGCTGGGACTGCACCATCCTCTTTCCAATTCCCAGTCCTTGGGCCCAAATTTGTTGCAGAAGTCCGGGTTATCTTTTTAGTCAGATGTGGCTTTTTAGTCATACGTGGCTTTGCTGTGTGGAATGTCATGGGTTTTTCTGCATGGATCTCTTAAAACCCAAGTAAAAAGTATCTTATATTTAAAGAACATGATTTTGATACTGAAGATGTGTATCCACGAATGATTTCTTTTTCCAGTACCATGGTGCAGACACTGAAATACGTGTATCAGCAACACGGAGTACGAAGAGGACTGTACCGTGGGCTATCCTTGAATTACATTCGCTGTATTCCTTCCCAGGCCGTGGCTTTCACCACTTACGAACTTATGAAACAATTCTTGCACCTCAACTGATTCTTTCTTTTAGAAGACTTTTATGTAAAACTACACTATCAATCCTCAAATTATATTGATGAATAAATGACTTGAAGTTTAAAAAAAAAAAGCTTTCTGTTACTGTGGACCTGCTGTTGTCTGACATCTTTATTTGCCAAAATGTGGCTAATTTCCTGGAGTCAAAACCAGGTGACACATTAAAATAAACATTACCTAGATCTAAACACTTTTTTTTTGCACTCAATCTTTTAGGCTTCATTAGATGAATGTTAGGAATGACACAGTTTTGGAGATGACACCCACGTTTCATACAGGTTCCAAGCTGTTAGTTATTTAGCTGTATCACCATTCCAGGAGTTAGATGCTGCTGATTATGCTGCTTTTGAAGCTAGTAATTAGGCATGTTGTTCTTTAAAAATTAAATGGAAAAAACTGATTTGAACATAATGCAATGATTTTGGCATTCCGATTCTTGCTAGGTCTGTAGAAGCTGAACTTGGCAGAGCACACTTTAAGCAGCCTTTTATTCTTGCCCTGTACAAGTCTTCTGTATGCAAGAACAGATTGCTGCCCAGGAAAGTATCTTCTGCTATTTCAGCTAGAACCAGCAAGATGTATTTAGCAGTATTAGTATTAGCTATCTTGCAATTTGGAAACCAGTTCCTTGGTGTACATTCTATTCTAAGAAAATGCTGTGCTACACAAATAAAAGCAGGGGGGATTTTACAGGGATGAGTGCTAGAAAAGATGTCCTTGTGGCAGGTAGGGCCTAATCTTAGAGAGCTTTTCTGTGGAGCTGCATGTTCTTGATTTGCTTAGTTCAAGGCTGAGTATGTTATGTACTTCCCGGTACTAGCTGGTGTAAACAGGTTTTTCCCTACCTTAGACCATGGTGCCAAAGAAGACTGCATGCTGCTCTTTAGGCATATGGACCACATGCAGCCTCACGCAGAAAAGAAAATTAAGATTGTATTGGCTCTGTAGGTGTGTATATGTACTCTTCCTGAAGTCATGGTATGCAATAGATTATTGCATGTTTGCCTCCTCCTGGAATTCCTTTTCTGGAAGGAATTATTTTATACATGATTTGCATTGGTACTCTTGATTTTACTCACTTGATTCAGGAAACTGTAAAACATTTACTTCATGTAAGTTATTTATTTATTGTACATATTTTAGTGTCTTCTAAGAATTGGCAATGGTTATGTTAAGTGGTGGATGGTAAGACTGATCTTCTTAATTTTGACAAATTTAACAAACTGGATTTTCGGTTGTATATTCAGTACCAACCTATGTGGCTCAATTTTCCCCCCAGTTTCTTTAAAGTATGTATTTCTTTGAAATTTACAGTATAGCAGTGAATACAGAGAATGAAATGTATCAGGATATATTTTATTAAAATTTTTGAACTAATATCTTTGTGTGATTTGTGTGTGTTGCAACCAGGAGGGATACATGTTTCTGGAATGATCTGTTTGCCCTAATAGGCACAACAATGTAATTCTTAATTAAGTGACAACAAATATGTTTTTTCATCTGATCTTAAATTTCACGTAAAAGAAAGCTAGCCAATATCACAGTGAACTTTTACATTTTAAGGTTCTTGCAGTAGAGATAAATCCACTGTATTAGGAAAACTAAAGTGCCTTTCCTTTCTCTACATTGTTTTGCTGTGTGAGCAAATAAGCCACTTGTTTTTCATGTGAGTACTGTTAGGGATTATTAAGTTAAAAGTTTTACATCTTAATTCTGCTACCAGGGATGTATTTGAGGTGTGTCATGATAAGTTAAGCAGTTTTAAGGCAGAATAAATCAGAACCTAGCATGTTTATGCCTGAGAGGAAGAGAACATAAAAAGTATCTCCTAAATTCTTGTGTCTGGTATTGAATGTGAAAAACATACCTACTTGATGGAACTGTGCTGTATTTTCAGAATTAGGTTGTTCAAAATAAAATTTAACAGTGTATGAAAGTATTTTAATAATGATTCCTGAATTTACAGTTATACGTGGAGAGAGCTGATGGATCTTAAAATGGCAAACATTTTTCACAATCTCTGATTTCAGAACACTTGTGTCCAGCTTTCTCCCTAGAGACTCCCCAGACTGATTGCATGGTAGATAACTTCAAAAAGATATTTCAAGCATATTTTGTACTTCATAAACCTATTCTGTTGAAATACGTATTTTCTGGTGTATGGGAGATATATAGGCAGCATCAAAGACTACAGCACAGTTTAGCAAGTGTTCAAAACATTTATGTAATTTCAATATCATGCCACATTATGACTGAATTTAATACTACCAACAAGGAACTAATAAATTATAATTAAGCTTCTCTTAGACAATAATGTTGCAGTGGGAAGCAGCATTAATGTCATTTACTGCATATTATTTCAGGACTATCCCAAATAAAACTGAAACGGCTAACCTAAGAATGTTCTCACCTTTTAACATTCGTCAATTTGAACTTGATCCTTCTGTTGGGATTCTAGCCATGAGCCAAAACTATCATTTCTGCAGCAGAGTGAAACCTGTGTATCCGAAACGTCAAGTGCCACCTCAGAAAGGCAGCGACCACACATCGTTCTGAGGGGAAGGGGTGGACTCTCGGGCTCAGATTGGCTCGTATGTGAATTGGGAGCGGAAGGCACGTTTAGTATGCCCCTGTACCACCGCACTGGTAGCGGCAGTGGGGCCGGGGGGAGAGCACTTGGCAAAGTGGGAGTTAGCGGCGGGCACGGCTGAGGGCGGGGCGGGTGCGCCCCACAGCCCTCAGCGCCCCGAGCTGCGGCGCGAGCCGCTTCCCGCCTTCGGCTCGCGCGCGGGAACCGCCCCCTCTGCCGCCTCCCATTGGACGAGCGGCCGCGCTGGGCGGGGCTTGCGGAGCGCGCGGCGGCGCTGAGGGAGCGCTGAGGGAGCGCGGGCCGGGCCGAACCGAACCGAACCGTGCCGAACCGAACCGTGCCGGGCCGAGCCGAGCGCCGCACGGGACCTGGCCATGGCCGAGAGGTAGCATCAGAGTGCGGGCAGCCACAGCGGGGCGGAGACGGCCGGGAGCGCGGGGGTTTGAACTTGCAAACCGCTCCCGGCTCCGGGCGCGGGAAGGCGGGATGGGGTCTGAGGCCTTCCTCGGGGCTGCCGGGATAACCGGTGAGGCCGAGCCGCCGCTGCCTCGGGTGTTCGCGCTGGGCACGGCGCCTGCGGGGGCCTGGCGTGCGCTGTGCCCCGTCCGCTCCCCAGGCATAGCTCGGTACAGGAGAGCGCTGGTTTGGCTATGGGAAACTGAACCTTCAATATCAGTTTTCTAAACAGCTTCAGGTCATGGGTAAAAATGCCCTGCTCCGTGTTCGAGGTGTTTGTGTGGCCGTGGGAGTTCATGCCTGCAGGGAGATACACGCTTTCTCACAAGCACAGGGTCTGCTGTACAGTTATAATTAGTTTACTAGTGCTTATGGATATGTGGACCCAAAAAATGAAGCACTAACTGTAATAAATAGCAAGTTGCCTAATGTTTATTGAGATTTCCCACACTTTACCTGTACAGAACTGAAAAAAAACCCAACAAAATATTTATAAAAATTGAAGGGGAGTAAAATTTGATTTATGGTTGAAGCTTTCCCTCTTTTTGTATGTAGGTCAGCTGTTTTCAAACAGTACAGTATTCTTTGTAATTAGCTGTTCCTTCAGTTTTCAGAAGAAAGTGTCTGACCTACCTGATACGATCCTGAAGAATGGGCTGAACAACAGATACCGAGTGCTGGAGGTCAGCATAATACAGAGAAATGGAAGTGACCCTGAGAAACACTTGACAATTACAGCCTCCCCCTCACTGGAAGATACAGAACTGTGCATCCTTAGGAGTGGCTGGTAATCCACACAGATACATAGATGTTTGAAAAGAGAATGAAATATTGGATTATTAACTCAGTTTTGTTTGTGTTGTCTATGAGTTGAGTTTTACGGCCTTAAAAGTGATATGGGATCCTGAAAGAACCTTTGTTCAATGTGATATTATCAGTATGCTAGCATAATGGATATCATCTTGAGAGGCCTGATGTTGAGTAGGCATTGCTACCTTGAGTTTTGTCATTGTAAAAATGCCTTTACTCACTTTCAGGATTTCTTTAAGTCAACTTCTTGAAAGAACCCAACCCAGCATTTCAAAGACTGTTGAATCTGCTATGTTAACGTGTTATTTCTTATACATAGTGTCTGTCATTTGCAATCATTGGTTGTGTGCGTGTATTCCCTTGCAGGGAGTCTGTCCCTGTGGTTCCAGGGGACATTGTTCATTTGGAAGGGGAGTGCAGCTCTGGCACCTGGGTGGTCAGTGCCCAGAGTGGATACCTGGTCCTGTACCCAGACCTGCTGCTCTCAGGCACCACCATCTCCAGCAGCATCCGCTGCATGAGGAGGGCAGTGCTGAGTGAGCGCTTCAGGGTGAGTGCTAATTCCACACTCTCAGTGATTTACTGTTCCACTCACACCGGTGGCCTAGCTCAGTGTTAAATCTGGCTGTTAGAAATGTCATTATTAGCAATTCATAATGTTTACAGCACAGAATAATTTGGGGTGGAAACTGTCTTTGGTTGATCTTCTCTTGTTTTTTTGAGACTTGCACCTGAAATAATGCAGTACTCTTAATACAGCTACTGGTCTAAAGAAATGGGGTTTCCACTTATAATTCTGATAATTTTTTTGATAATCTCTTGATGCATTTTGTGTGGATATGAATCTTTTGTGAGGGATTTGCCTCTTGCCATCCATATGAAAATATAACCACGCTTGGCCAAATTAACAGCTTTTGAAAAATTTAGCTAATTCAGTTAATAATTGGTGTGGGCTGACTCTGGAGTCTGAATCCAGCTGCTCGATCTTGGAAAGAGGCAAAGTGTCTCGTGGTAGTATCCTTGCTGATACATGAGAAATATGCTGATAAATAGAGAAGCAACAGCTGCCAGTTTCAGCTGATGAAAACTTCCAGACATGACAGGAATATAAATCCAAATGAATAAGGAAATTTTAATAGAGCAGTAAACAGCCTGGCTGGGAACCTGTGACTGGAACAAGAAAATTAAGTACAGGAGATTAAGACTATGAAATGTTCTTCAACCTTCTATTAGAGGAGTAAGGGGGATAAAATGACTGTTGAGTCAATGCACAGGGTCCTGACTGGGATAACACCATCCACCTGTTGTGAGTGCAATCCACTGGTCTGTAAGAGATCCATAATACCACAGTGTTTAGGTTTTCAGCTGTTTGGTAGTGACTTTCAGCTCTTGTGAGTCTCCAGAGCCCAGCCCTTCTGGTGGGTTTCTGAGCCGTGTTGGTGATACATGGAATGATTTTGCTGTGAGCTGGTAACAGACAGGAAACTGCTTAATGTAAGAAATCTGTGTAAGATTGTAAAGGTACGTGTTTGCATTAGGAAATGCCTGCAGGCAAAACTTTCTCAAAGTTTTATTTTAATCTGTGCCTTTGTTTCTCACCTGCCAATCACACAGAGATTGTATCCTGACGTTGTCAGGGTTGGGATAAAGCAATAGGTGAGACCCGCTTCAATTCAGCTGCTCTCACAGACAGGTTTGACTAGATAACCATTAGTGAGGTGAAAGCTGTCATGATCTTATAGTTAAATAAGTGTAGGCCTTGATGTGCAGCAAATATTGCAGAGAAATTTTGCAGAGAAGTTGGCATGAAATGGGCATAAATCTTCAAGTTTGATGACATCTGTTGCAGGGCTCCGAGTCGGGTTCGCACCAAATGCTCGTTGGGACAATTCTTCATGACATCTTCCAGCAATCAGTAACCAATAACTTGACACAAGAAAAGGTGCAAGAGCTAGCAAATAAAATTGTGTATGGACAAAAGTACCTTAAAGAAATGTAAGTAGCATTACAGCTGCCTTCTATGTTTGGAAGATGGGGCAGGAACACTTTGAACTAGCGGATTGAGTTGTACTTTAAAAAATGTAGTGCTGGTATCAGGAGAGTATTCTGCCAAATGACTTTGCTTAATGGAAATTGAGGATCTTTTAGTAAGATAATTCCCCTTTTGGTAGTTTAATTTTATTTGCCTTCCCTGCTGAACTACTTCTATATACCTGAGCTAGTCTTTTGGAGTAACTGTATGTGGCATGGTTTTTTTTAATTTTAGTCCAAGCAGCTTGCAGTGTTTGTGTCTGTAACATTAGATTTCCAGGCATCTCCCAAAGCTCATTTGAATGGGACAAATAGTTAATTATCATCCTCAGTAATGAGCCTAGAACCTTGTGACTGGCGAATAACTGAATGTCTGTTAATTTCATGTCTGTATCAGATTAGTTAAAGTCTCACTTGTTAGAAGACCTTTGACTTATTTTCTCAGCAAAGCTGATAGAAATGCTAGGCAATGCTTAGTATTTCCCTCAGG